GCTACAGAAGATCAAAGACTACATTCTTCAATATGGATTATATTTGAACATCAAGGGGATAAAAGGTACTCACCATTGGACCAATAGGCAACATCATGATAGATGGAGAAAAGATTGAAATTACCAATGATTTCACCTTACTTTGATTTACAATCAACATACTTGGTATCAGCAGTCAGGAGAGTAGGAAGTATATTGGGAAAGTCTGCAGTCAGAGATCTCATCAAATTACTGATGAGCAATGATGTCAATTTAAGGATTAAGGGGCATCTGATTCAGTCCATGGTCTTTTCAATAACTTGCTATGCCTCTGAGAGCTGGTCAATGCCTAAGAATGACAGAAGAATTGATGCCTTTGAGTTCTGTTGAAAAAGAGCCCTGAATATTCCACGGACTGTGAAAAAACAAATAGATATGCCTTGGAGAAAGTACAGCCAGAGTGTTCCTTGGAGGCAAGGATGACAAAGTTTCATCTTACATACTTTGAGTATGTTTCTAAGAGAGGCTATTCCTTCAAGAGGGACCTCATGCTTTGAAAAGTGGAAAGTCAAAAAAAGAGAGGAGGACCTTCAACTAGGTGGACTGATACTGATTGCTGCAATAGGCTCAAGTATTTCAGAAATTATGAGAAGGGCACAGGATAGGATAGGAGACAGATCTGTTGTTCATAAGGTCACTATCAGTTGTTCAGTATTTTATTTCAAAAACTATTTCTCCTCCACAAGACACTCAAGTGTGTTATCATCCTATAAAACATAGTGTTTACTCATTTTTAGGTCCATTTATGTTGTTGTGTTGTTGTTATGTGCCATCGGCTCATCTGTGACTTATAGTAACCCTATGGACAGCAGTTCTGAAGGCTGCCCTGTTCATAGCCAGTCTCACTAACTTGGACACACCTACTTCCATTGCCCTAATTACTGTATCAATCCGTCTCATCCAGGGTTTTCCTCTACTGCACCGTCCCTCCACCCTTACAGGCATGATGGCCTTCTCCAAGCATCAGTCCTTCCTAGCCACATGCCTGAAGTATGTGAAACACCTTCAAAACCCTAGCCTCCAAGGAAAAACATGGTTTCACCCTCTCCAAGACAGATCTATTTGTTTTCTTGAAAGTCCATGGTGTGTTCAAGACTCTTCTCCAGCACCAGTCATTGTCCAGCCCTGTGAAAAGAAAGTAACTGCAAAGACCATTATAGGACTTTATGTACGTTAACTCCCTTAACAACTTATAAGGAAACCTATGAAGATGGGCACTGTTATATCATTCCTGTTTTTACAGATGAGAAAACTGAGACAATTTAGATAATTTGCTAGAGATCACAAGGCAATGGTATGTCAATCCAGCTAGTCTGGCTCAGGGATCTGTGCTCTTAACCCCTGTGACTCGCAACCTCTCAGATTAAGTGATGCTGTCTCCTTAAACCCCATCGAAGCAATGATGTTCTGAGCAGATGCGTCCTTTGTATCCCATGGCTTCTGGCACACAGCCACAGATCCATGCTCCCACTGAGGGGGGGATGGCTCAAGCCCCAGTATCTTCACTCAGGTTGCAGCAGTGAAAGAGCATCACTTAGGACTAATGCCCACAGCACTCACTGTGGCTAAGAGGGCTCAAACAAGTGACAAGTTGGCCACCACTGGGAAATGATTAAAAATCTACCATTAAAACAAGCTGTACTTAGAGCAGACCTTCTTTTAAAGTAGCTTTTCATCAGGGGATTATATTTTCTTCTTGACAATTTCCTTAATGGCAAGAAAGGCTATATGTTAGAAGAACAAAGGAGACCCAGGGGCAAAGAGTAGAAGATTCTCACCGCAGCAGGGGCAGGGGAGGGCCGGCAGAGGAGAATTAAACAGGCAGGAGGGAAGATGTGACCCCTCTTTTATTCCTGTATAATGATCCAGTACTGCCCACCCCCCACCTCCTCGTTCTGCCTTCTTCTCTGGGGGCACTAACAGCAGCCCAGAGCTCATTAAAGTTTGAACAGCCTGATCAATAAGGACAGAATGGTGAATTGTCCATCTGCAAATTACCAAGCGTCTCATGAATATTTAAGGAACCAAACAAGGGACAAGGAGAAGAGGGAAAACCAGGATTTTATTTCTCCCTCTTGGAGGAGGTGGGGTACACAAAAGCGTCTTCTCTGCTGTTCTTGATTACTAGGAAATAATCAAATGTCAAATAAAATTTTCAAAATGAACATTTATTGTCCCCCATCGCTTCCTGTTCCAAGCCAGCACCGAATTCAATGCTTTTGTGTAACCAAAGCCATTACAAATTACTATCTACAAATCTCCTGCCAGATATTTTCTAATCATATCAGGCTTTCTTTCTTTCTCAAAAAATATCCTGTGCTCATGCCTTCAGATCTTTGAATATGCTATTCCATTTGCTGAAAAATGCTGCTTCCTTCACTTTTCCACTGGGAAGACAGGACAACCCAGTGACTGAAAATGAGAATTTGGAGTCAGACTGCTCAAGTTCTAGTCCTATCTCTGCTATTTACTAAATGTATGGACTTATTTAAGTGACCTAACTTTTCTGTGCCTTCACTGTCTGTTTAAAAATGAGGAAAAGAGAGCTGTTGTTAGCTACTGCTGACTCAGTACCTGATGCAAGAGAACCTCAGACACAATGGAACAAGCACTGCTCTGTCTCACGCCATCGCCATGATTGGATGCAAATCGGATGATGATCTACATGGTTTTCCCTGGTTAATATTTGGAAGTACACAGGCAGGGCTTTCATCCCAGTCCCTTTTAGTCTGAAACTCTGATGTAACCTGCTCAGAATCATCACAATTGATAAACCTTACCTGACGGACAAGTGTTAGCTCCACGTGATTAGCCAGGAATCAAACCAAGTTTCCCACATGAAAGGTAAGTATTCCACCACTGAACTACCAGTGTTATCTGAGAGTAATCATAAAATACCAACTGCTATCAAGAAAGGCGACTCTCTCCTGGTAACTCCGTGTGTCTCAGAGTAGACTACATTCCACAGAGCCTCTAATGGATGATGTTTCAAAAACAGACCACCAACCATTTCTTCTTTGGACATAATAATGCTATCTTGTAAAAAAGAGCAAGAGTGGCATGGGGCCTTCAGATAGCTGACCTCTTCTGACCCCCAAAGGGCAAGAACTCTCCTCACCAATATCCACAGTAAAAACTATTTTTCATAAAGTCAGATATGCCCCCCTCCCACACGCCCACACCACTTCCTAATTCCAGCACCTATACTCCTGCCTTTTGTGGAACTGAAATCCACTGCAATAGATAAACACATTTCACAGACACATACTCTCTATTCTGGGGTTGACTAGAGATGTTAACAGGTTACAATTCAGGCTGGCAACAGGATACAACCTCTCACTCAGGGCAACTTTCAAAGTGTGCTCTCAGACACCTCAGCCTTCGGCCTCATGATGATAGGCCAGCATTACAGAGATCTCTTCCTGCCAATTAAGGCATCTCCCAGATATTCTGCCAAAAAGCTTGGGAGAAGCCTCTTAGCTCTAGTTCTGGATGACAGCAGACCCAAATAGCAGGCCCAAAGTCAGCTCTCACATCAGGTCTCTGGTTTAGGAAAGAAATGGCTCATGCAGCTGAAGATGTGTAGATGATGTAGACGGGCCATGTTTTCAGGGCAGGCAGAGTTAAGGCAGCTGGATCAGGATCGAAGCATTATTCCAGGTGATCAGTGAACAGAAAGAGAGTGAACATCCCAAACGCAGTCCTCTCTATAGAAGCACAGGGGTATAAGCCACACCTTGAGGGGAACGAAGAGTGGCAATTTGTGTCATGCTTTCTGGTAAGGTGGAGCCTCAATATGGATCCATTCTATTTGTATGTGCCCACCTGGATAAGTGACAAGGTCAAAGTCAGGGTCTAAAAAAGTCATCCTGAGCATCAGAGCCACTACATCAGACACATTAATCAGGGCATTGTAAGAATTCTACTGGTGGAGTTATTGTTCAATGCTATCAAGTATAATTATACTACCACTCATAGTAACTGTACAAACAACAAATCTGAACCTTGAACTATCTGAACTTTGTGCCCTCCTCATAAGCTTTGATATGCGTGAGCTTACTGTTAGAGTGAGTGTGTCAATACATTTTGTTGAGGATGTTCCTCTCGTCCTCTGACCATCGACCTTTCCCAGCATGATGTCATTTGCAAAGGATTTGCCTCTCCTGACAACATGCTCATAGCATGTGAGATGAAGTTTCACCATCCTTGCCTCGAAAGAGCACCCTGGATGCACTTCCTTCAAGATAGACTTGTTCGTTCTTTTGGTAGTCCATGGTATATTCGGTATTCTTCTCCCACACCACAATACAAAGACATTAATTCTTCTTTTTGTTATCCTTTTCACTGTCCACCTTTCAGCAGTAAAAGAAGCAATGTAAACATCATAGCTTGGACCATGTGAATCCTAGTCTTCAAACTGACAACATTTCTTTAGCACTTTAGAAATGTCCTTGACAGCTGAATCTCCCAATATAATGCATCTTTCATTTTTAACAACTGCCAAGATGGGTACTGATTGTGGATCCAAGTAAAATGAAATCACTGACAACTTCAATATTTTCTCCACATATCATGATATTGCCTATTGGTCCAATAGTATTTTTGCTTTCTTGATGTTGGATTCCACTAGCATGCAACAACAGGCATGATAGGCATCAGCTATGACTTTAGTGGAACTTTTTTGCATCTTTTGTCATATCTTCCCTAAATACCATTAGAGGCAGTTCTTTCCTTAGTCTCAACACCTATCATTATCTATCCCAATTGTTTACTGATCTCTGTCACAAGAGTGTATGCTCTTTAAAGAAAAAGTCTGCATTCTACTCATTTCTGTATCTAAGTTTCTCTGAAGTAGAGTCTGGCAGCAGGTGAGCATTCATAAAACACTCACTAGGTGGGTACGTTGAAGGGTTCACTGCACAGAAAGGATCCCACCACCCCCACCACAAGTTTGTCCATACCTTTGTGACAACACAGCAGGCAGCCCAGATGTCCTCAGAGGACTGTTCATGGTGGTTGAACTGAGGTTCCCACTGTTGAATTAGCTGGTCAGCAAAAGCCACAAGGACTCCTTTCTGGTCCACCAAAGCAGCTCGAACACTGCCTGTCCCAACATCTACACCCACATAGTAGCACCTGGGTTCCTGATCTCCACCAGACATTGTGGAACTTCAGCCTGTAATGATCAAGTACAAAGATCATGTAAAGATAAGCAAGTATGCAAAGTCAGGCAGCTATGATCTATCAAGTGAAAAGAAAAGAGGTGCAGCCCACCAATTAGTGGTTGTTATTGATTGAATTGTATCCTCCAAAAATGTGTTGTAAATTCTAACTTACATGCCTATAATCCTATTTGGGAATAAATTTCTTATGTTAATTAGAAGAATTAGTATAGGATGTGTCCTACGTTAATCTCCCTTTAGATATAAAGAAAATTAAATGAGCAAAGTAGGAAGGAGAGATTGGAAGATAGATGCCAAGACACTTGGAGATCTCCAAGGAACACTGAAGAAGCTCAATAGATAAGAATATATCTCCCAAGACAATAGAGAACAGTCTTCCGCTTAGATCCAGGGCCTCAGAATGAAACTCCTAGAGTCCTGGTGGCAGAGTTCATAGGGTGCTGCTCTCCTAATCCATTGCTTAGGCACAACTCCCAACATTCTGATCAGGGCTACAATAGATATGAACTGATAAAGAAAAATGTAGAACTTCAAAACACTTAAAAGTCGAAATAAAATAAGACCTATCACACCCGCTGAGACTGGAATACCACTTAAGACTATCACCCCATGATATTCTTCAAACCTTGAACTGGCACACACAGAGATCAGATGGTAGTTAGTTAACAAATAGGCTCAAAAAAAGTAATGAATATGGGGGTTGGTATGTCGGAATTCGTGAGACTGGTTCAGAACAGGGAAGGGTTCAGAACTGCTGTACATAGGGTCGCCATACATCGCAGGCGACTCAATGGCGCATAACAACAATAACATACTATGACAGGTTTCGAAGTGGGAGTGGCATCCACTTCCTAAATACCATGCCTCTGGAAACTCTATGAACTTTGATAAATGTTGATAGTTGTAGAAGGCTTCAGGCCTTTTGTTCATAAGGTCACTAATGAGTCGTGCTCGACTTGAAGACAACCAGCAACAACGACAACAACAACATATCCCCTTTAAAAATATATAGGAAACAAAATTATCAAATAACACTTTAAAACAAAGATGAGAATGTAACAGGGAAAGGAAATGATTAATGAAGATAAAGCAACCAGAACCAAGAGTGAGCTTGTTCAAGCATTGTGAAGGATAGAAATAATGTCACTGAACAATATGTACAGATATCACTGAATGAGAACCTAAATTGCCACATAAACTTTCACCAAAAAGTCAATGAAATATTTTTAAAAACAAATGTTAAAAAAGGAAACTCTAAAAGTTAAATAATTTTCTGATTAATGATGGGGCCATACCATTGTAAGAATTAAGTGTGCATTATTTATATTATGAAGTGCTATATTTCCTACTGCGATGATTTTGCTTTCTTCATGGATGATATCCTTAATGTCCCTCCCCCCACAACTTCTCAGGTCTTCTATTATAAGTGGTTAATGCCCCAACTCTATTCTTCAGAGAATTTTTTAAGTTCAAGTCATATTTTTGTTTTTATGAATTTGTTTTAATTTTGTTCAACTTCAAATTGAACTTGCACAGGAGTAAATGATGGCGTGTTCCACGGTCAGCACCTAGCCTGGTTTTGACTGCTAATATTGAGCTTTTCCGACAGATTTTTCCACAAATGTAGTCAATCTGATTCCGTGTAGCCCATTAAGTGAGTTCCATGTGTATAGTCAGCATTTGTGTGTTTTTAAAAAGGTATTTGCATAGTGGAGTGTACTTGGGGCAGGGGGATTGTGTACCAGTGAAGGAATTTTTCTTTTACTTTTCAAAGAGAAGAGTGAACTGAGGGGGGGGTGGGGGAAGGGGGACAGGGAGAAAAATGCAACAATGAATGAATGGTAATCCAAAATCTCTGTAAATGTTCATTAAAATTAATAAAATAAAAAGGAGTGGCAAGGTATTTGCAAAGCACTGACTGTACAAAATTCAACCAGTCAATCTCCAGCCTCATTTCTGTCACCAAGTACATTGTTTCCTTCTACCTGTCCTCCTCCTTTTTTACACTTTAGTTACTGAAAGTGAGCAAAACCTGTAATGCTGCAGAAGATCAAAGACTACAGCTTTCAATATGAATTACATCTCAACATCAAAAAGACAAAAATCCTCACCCCAGAGCCAACAGGCAGCCTCATGATAGATGGAGAAAAGGCTGAATTTGTCAACAATTTCATCTTACTTGGATCTACAAACAACAGTACGTTGTTACCAGCAGTCAACGAATCAAAAGACATGGTGCACTGGGAAAATATGCTGTCAAGGACTTCTCCAAGGGGCAATGATAGCAGTTTAAAAACTAAAATGTACCTAATTTAAATCATAGTCTTTTCAATTATTTGCTATGCATCTGAACATTGAACAAAGACTAAGCATGACAAAAGACGAATCAATGTTTTTGAGTTATTGTGCATGAGAAAAACACTAAACACCCCATGGAGTGCCAAAAGAACAAACAAATATGTGCGGGAGAAGGTACAGCCAGGGTGTTCCTTAGAGGCAAGGACGGTGAGGCTTCATCCCACATCCTTTGGCCACACTGTTAGGAGGCCCCAGTCCTTGGGAAAAGACACCATGCTCAGAAAGATGGATCATCACCGAAAGAGAGGAGGACCCTTAGCAAGAAGAATTGACACAGTGACTATAACAATGGGCTCAAGTGTATCAACAATGAAGAGGACGGCACAGGAAAGGGCAGGGTTCAGATCCACGGTACACAAGGTCAATATGAGTCCTATTCGATTCAATGACACCTAACAAAAACAGGAGAGATCATACTTAGTTGGGAACCAGGCCTCTGTGAAGTTAAGGAATTTACCGAACATCACTTAGAGTCTAGACCCAAAGCCTCAGGTCTGTGGAACTCCAATCCCATGCTTTTTCCATTGCATTCCTTCTTCCAAGACAGGAGTAGATGTTTAGAGAAGAGGCTTATAAACTGCAGTCATGTCATGAAAAGACTGGGAATTGGGAAGGAGCCTGGGGGGAGACAGGTTCAGGAATTCGTTAGACAACCTGTTTTCTTTACAGACCCCTGGTGAGTTACAAGGAAATCTAATGAGAGCACACTCAGGAATTCCTTGGCCTTCTTTTCTGTTCTAATTCCCTTTGGTCAGATTAGCCCATGACACAGAAATCTCATAGGGATCTTCATTTCCCAGAAAGGCCTTTAAAACAATAAGAACCAGCTCCAAACACAACTGTACTGTTGAACATGCGTTACCTCCCCAGGTGAGGTATTAGCACCCAGAGTCTAATTACAACCTCAGCAGCATTCTAGGTCATTCAACTTCAAAAAGATAAGGTTTCCTTGGTAAGGCCACACTTGGGGATTCTAAAAGAAAGTCAGTCAGCAGATGTTCAGTTACTGCTTCCTGGATATTTATTCCAAGAGAAAAGCAGCTTCATTAAAAGGGATTGCCTCTAACTTTATCACAGTGATTCCCAACTGTATTTCCCTCTTTTGGATTTGGGGTTCACTGGCAGATAAAGAAAACAGATAAGCTCAACAAATGGATCAACAAGAAAATGGAGACACTGGACAAATGAATCGACTGCAACAAAAGGCTGAAATACAGGAAAGACTGAGACGATGGTGCAAGCATGGGCAAGGTTTTAAACTGTTGTACATCGTCTAACAACAGCAACAACAACAACATGATAATAACAGAGTCCTTGGGTGATACAAATACTTAGCATACTTGACTGCTAACCAAAAGGCTAGGGTTTGAGTCAACATAGAAGTACCTTGGAAGAAAGCCTAGTGATTGACTTCTGAAAAAATCAGCCACTAAGAATATTAGAAGGCACAATTCTACTCTGACACGCAGTCAATACACATTGTTATGTATTGGGATCAAGTGAACAGCAAGTGTTTCATGATAATAATGTTTGTATCTCAGAGGCTTTAGACAATTGACTTTCATCTGCTCTCTCACTTAAATCTCTTTGGAAAATTTACTATCAAGGACTTTCCAAAATGCTAAAGACTAACAATGTCAATTTAAAGGCTAAGTTGTGCCTGATCCAAGCCATGATATTTTCAATTGCTTCCTATGCATCTGAAAGCTGTATGAATAAGGGTAACCTTATTTGAACTGAGAGGTTGGTAAAAAATACTTACTATCCCATGGATACCAAAAGAACAAACAATTTTGTCTTGGTGGAAGTGTGACCAAGGTATCGCTTAGAGGCAAGGCCGGTGAAACTCCATCTCACATACTCTGAGCTTGTTGTCAGAAGGAGCCAATCTTTGGAAAGACCTCTTTCTGTGCAAGATGGATAGTTACAGAAAGAGAAGAATAATTCCAACAAGATAGACACCGTGATTGCAAAAATGGGCTCATGAACATCAGAGATTGTGGGAATGGTGCTGGAGAGAGCAAGAGTTCACCAGACTCACTATGAACTGTAGTAGACTAAGCAGAACATAACAACAGAAGTTCCATAGGGGCCATTAAAAAGCAAAACAAGTTAGTGAATAATTTACAAAATCATTGCTCCTGCCTGCTGCATAGTATTCCAATGTGTAAATGTACCATAATTTCTCAATCCATTCATTTGTGGTTGGACATCTAGGCTGTTTCCACGTTCTTGTGATGGTGAATAATGCTGCTATGAACACTGGCA